TTAATATTGAGGAGTGTTGCTAAGATGACAATTAGTTAACATCTTGATATTAATTATAGTAGGATTCATCTTCTTTAATAATATTCTTCCTTGAATATTAATTAATCCCTACTCTTATTTCATATTAATATTTTGAACATTACTTAAAGGATCAACTAGTTTTGTTTCATATATTAATTATTACTAGAAACGATCAACGAACCGATGGTTAATCGTTGATGGTTTCACAAGTAAGTAGCTTCGGTTTATTAATGCACGGTCGTGGTTAATAAACTTAAGAGGGATTAATTTTGTTGGTTAAACCGAAACCGCTTGTGTTGAGGTTATCAATCTCAATTGATTTCATCAAGGAGTTAGAAAGATTAAATGCTACTATTAAATCGGTATAAGGCGTTGTTCTATATTTGATTAATAGTAAGGGTTATTAATGAACGGTCGTTGTTAATAACTACCCTCGATGAAGTGGATATACTCCCCGATTGAGTATTCGAGAGGGAATAAGTTATAGATATAACAATGATCGACTAAAATATATCAACAAGTGGAAAGTAGCAATGCCAAGTCCTTTTTATCTTTGAATTAAACACATATAGGTTGTTCATCTTAGTATTTAATTAAATTAAATCTCTCAAACCAAAACCCCCTTTTTATTCATTAAGTTCATAGAAAGAGAATTATACCTTTCCATGTGGATACGAACTCTACTACGCTATACTACGTATAAGTGTTTAGTATTGAATTTACTTTGACGCACCGTGACAAAGTGCTCGTCAAATTTGGCGCCGTTGCCGGGGAAAGGCAATTATTTTTCTTTTTATTTTATCTCAAAAAAAAAATTAAAAAAAAAGGATAAAGAAAAATCTTACTTTTCTATTTTCTGAGCTTGCACGAGTAAATGGATACCAACACATCATCCCTAGAGAGTCAAATTTCCGACTTGACTTCTCTAATAAAGGAGTTTATCTCATGTTCAAAATCTCAAGATATACATACATGCAACATTTGCATGTCACAAAGGCATCTTACGGATTTTTGCCCAGAGCTTCGAGAAGAATTCTTTGAACAAAGGAATAATGTTGGTTTCCAAGAGAGGTATGATTCATTCTCCAACACATATAGCCCATACTCATGTTCTTATTCCAGCATGTCCACTGAAGACATGATCCGAGCTCTCACTATCAATGTGACAAATATGCAACAAAATATGTCACAATGCTCGCAAGAAGCAGTGTCCAACGAACAGAATTTGGACAATCATTTGAAACAAATGCCAAGCATTGTGAACCACATGGGCGAGGAGGAGGAAGAAGAGGAGCTTACGGAGAAAGCTCAACCGGAGGAGGAACCTCAAAACTCAATTCAACCACCGGCCATTCCTGAGATCATGCCACCATTTCCTGAGGCTCTAAGGGAAACACAAAGGGTGGAGAAGGACAAAGATATCTATGAAATCTTCAGCAATTGTGAGTATAATTTAGACTTCTCTTTGTTCACAAATAAGCAAGGAATAACGGTGGGATTACACAAATATTTCATACTCCCTCTTATCCCACCCGGATCAAACCCCCTTCCATTGACCATGCTTAATGAAAATCATGGACCAACACTCTCACAATATGAAGCGATAGAAATCTGGATATTTGATCCCGGAAAGGTCAAAATAAAGGGTCAGAAAATCAAGCATTCCTATGGAAGTCCTAGGAGTGAAAATGTGGCGAAGATAAACTATCATGATCCCAGTTTGAACGACTGAACACAATGATGGCGTCGTGCCGCGACGTTAACTAAGGCGCTTCTTGGGAGGCAACCCAAGCAAGGTACGTTTACTTGATTTATTTTATTTTTACACTTTTCAAAAAAAAATGACCTGGGATTGAACCCGGCCGGGTATAAAACCCCACCCGGTCGGGTTACCTCTAAAAACAAAACACCCGGCCAACCACCCGGGCGAGGCAAGAGCGGAACAATGATAAACCAAACACCCGACCGGGTAGACCCCCATACCCGGCCGGGCAACCCAGCAAAAGCTTTCTGCCTCGGGTGAACAGTTTACGCCCGACCGGGTACACTACCCCACCCGGCCGGGTATCTCGATTTTTTGGAAACCAGGCCATTTCTCATAAAAAAAAATTCAACCCCTTTGTCTTCCCTTTCGAACCACACCCCAAATTTCCTCCATTTCCAAAAGTCAAAAGCTTCATATCTCCTACATCCATCCACCAATTAAACCCATTTCATTCATCACCTCTTCACCCTTTTCATCTCCACACCCACGAATCACCAACAAAACCTCCCAAAAAGTAACCAAACAAAAAATCATCTCAGACACAAGCACTAGGGACAGTGCTTTGATTAGCTTGGGGGGAGAGTTTTATGGAATACTCACATTCATACTCTTTATTCTTGTAAAAAAAATATATTAAAAAAGCTTGTTAAGTTGAAAACCTGAAAGGGCAACTTAAGCAAAAATAAAGCAAAAATGAGAGTGAGTTGTGAGGATTAAAACAGAAAAATGTGGGAAGCTGGGATGAAAACCCGAAAGGGCACCTAGGCAAAATGAGAGAACGAGAGAAAGTATTTTCTTTTATTTCTGCAGGATCCTAAGGGTAACGAAAAAAAAGGTTGAGGTTGATAAAGAAATATGGAGTTGAAGACCCTCTTTACTGTTATATTTTTGGGGATATACTTTATGTGTTTCTAAAAACACTCGTGGATGTGTGTGTTGATATTCTTGTCATTTTAAGGACTTCTTGGACCGGATTTGATTTACTCGAGACGAGTAAAGGTTTAAGTGTGGGGGTGTTTGATGCACACTAATTAGTAGTGCATAATTGCATGTTTTTATGTTTGATTTATGTTGATTGTTTGACATTTTATTTAGTTTGTAAACATTTATGTAATTTCAGTTGTAATTGTATTTTATTCTTTATTTATAAGTTGTAAAGTATAGTTAGGATTAGTGGTGTTGGAAAGGAAGACTTTGAAGAGAAGAAAACAAGAAATTTGACTGCCCAGGAGTGAAACCCGACCGGGTAGAAACCCCCACCCGGTCGGGTAGGATTTAACAAACGAAATTGCCAAGAAAGTCATTGGACCCGGTCGGGTCCCCTACTTGACCCGGTCGGGTCAGATGCGACCCGGGACAAAACGACGTGCGAAGATCACCAGAACGTGGCGGATTATCTGATTTTGACCGGATCCAGTCGGGTGAGTACTTGACCCGGTCGGGTACCCGGCCAAAGGTGTTGAAAAACACCTATAAATAGCACACTTTTTCTTCTCTAAAAATCATCCCTTCTTCCATACTCTTTAGCTCAGTTTAGAATATCATTTCTTTATATTTTTCTAGCTATGTTTAGTCTCCAAATGAGGAGCTAAACTTCCATTCTTGGTGTTGCTCTTGAAGCTCGTTGATTATTAAAGTTGTGAGTTATTTTCTTAACTTCTTTCTTTGAATATTAATTAATAGTTCTTTCCTTAATATCATCTCTATATTAATGTTGGGGAGTGTTGCTAAGATGACAATTAGTTAACATCTCGACATTAGTTAGAATGGTATTTTCTTCCTCTATATTAATATTGAGGAGTGTTGCTAAGATGACAATTAGTTAACATCTTGATATTAATTATAGTAGGATTCATCTTCTTTAATAATATTCTTCCTTGAATATTAATTAATCCCTACTCTTATTTCATATTAATATTTTGAACATTACTTAAAGGATCAACTAGTTTTGTTTCATATATTAATTATTACTAGAAACGATCAACGAACCGATGGTTAATCGTTGATGGTTTCACAAGTAAGTAGCTTCGGTTTATTAATGCACGGTCGTGGTTAATAAACTTAAGAGGGATTAATTTTGTTGGTTAAACCGAAACCGCTTGTGTTGAGGTTATCAATCTCAATTGATTTCATCAAGGAGTTAGAAAGATTAAATGCTACTATTAAATCGGTATAAGGCGTTGTTCTATATTTGATTAATAGTAAGGGTTATTAATGAACGGTCGTTGTTAATAACTACCCTCGATGAAGTGGATATACTCCCCGATTGAGTATTCGAGAGGGAATAAGTTATAGATATAACAATGATCGACTAAAATATATCAACAAGTGGAAAGTAGCAATGACAAGTCCTTTTTATCTTTGAATTAAACACATATAGGTTGTTCATCTTAGTATTTAATTAAATTAAATCTCTCAAACCAAAACCCCCTTTTTATTCATTAAGTTCATAGAAAGAGAATTATACCTTTCCCTGTGGGAAAGAACTCTACTACGCTATACTACGTATAAGTGTTTAGTATTGAATTTACTTTGACGCACCGTGACAAAGTGCTCGTCACGTCATCCATAAAAGAGAACAAGAATGATGTTAAGTGTTTGGTACAAACAGGCCGAAGCCGAGAGCTACAGATTGTCATTGCAACAAACATTGTTCAAAAGATTTACAAATACAAAATCATTCGGCGGTTTCTCCCTCGGCAACTTTGGAGGTGACCTCTTCTCCGATGGCCTCGTCAGCACCGCCCTCACCGGACCCCCCCATCATCATAGAGTCATCAATCAGGGGCCTCTCTTCGCTCAGGGGAGGGGGATTCTCACATCAGGATGCAACGGGGGAAGACCATACACCGCCGGGTCAAACTGATCGAGGGAGACATTGAAGTGGCGAGCGAGCCTCCTGTAAATTAAATGCTGGGTGAAGAACTCACCCCCTTGATAGTAAGCGTCACCTCTCTCGGCCAACCAGTCCTTGCCGGGGCCTTCGACCCAGGCGTCGACACTTCTCCCCACCACCAGGGAGAGTCAAGCCTTCCTTTCCTCGGCAGTCCAACCCTCGGTGACAAAGCTTTCGACCGCTGACCTCTCCGCAGCAGCCACCGCTTCGGCCCTGGCCCTCTCCGCCTCCTCGGCATTTTTCTTAATGGCCTCGGCGTGAATCCTCTCAGCTTCAGCCCTCTCTGCTTTGGCTCTCTCGGCCTCCGCCTTCGCCTGCCGAAGGATCTCTTCCAGCTGGGCCATCTGCCTTATGGCATCAGAGTTCTCGTGGATAAGCTTTTTCAGCTTCTCATCATTATGGACCTTCTGGAGGCGCCATTCTTCCAGCCGACGGGCTTGCTCGCCGAGGGCTATGCAGGCCTGTAAGAACTGATCAAGGGAGTCAAGCTATCATCCAAGATGTACTAAGTGAATGAAAAATAAAAAAGAGGAACAGAGACTTACGGTGAGGGAAGACCGGTGGATCTTGTTCTCGAGGGCCTCGTCATCGTAGGTCCCGAGGGCCTTCCTATCCAGGTCCGAGGTGATGCTCCCCAGAAAAGCCTTCGGCTCTATTGTGCCATACATCACTGCAGTCCCCTTGACGAGGGGAACCTGCAAGGTGTCCCGAGGAAATTCCCTCGAAGGGTCGTTGGAAGGGGTCATCAGTGTGGTCGCAGCCGGGGCTCAGCAGAGGACCGATCCTCTATAATCACCACGGGGGCCGCCTTCTCAGCAACATCCCCGACAACTTTCTACTTCTTGACAGGGGGCTCAACCCCCTTGCTACCCTTCTTCTTCGTGCCCCCCCGGCCACATCAGCGGCGGCAGCAACAGCAGAGGGCTCTGTCATCTCCTTCTGGAAGAAGGCATCAACAGGCTGATGGCCCGAAGGGTCCTTCTTCTTAGCTTGGGCCTTGCCCTTCTTCTTCTTCAAAGCGAAGAGGGCGTTTGCATCCATACCAGCACTTGCAAAGCAACAATGAGGAATTAGCCCGAAGGGTAGAAAGCATGGACACATATCAAAACTACAAAAATTCCTAAGTACAAAATATAAGGCCCCAACAACTACCTCCTGCTCCCCCAAAGGCTCTATCAAGGATGGGGTACTTCTCGTCTGTTTCCCCCAAGAAGCGGTATCGCCGGAAGCCGAGGGAGTACAAATCGCTCTCGAGGATGCATTCTTTAATGGTCATGTTCTTATTCCGCCCCTCCGGGATCTTGGCAATCTTGAGACCATCTTTTTCGAGGGCGGCACTTCCCACCCTCTCATGCCGACGGAAACGGTCCCGTAGTTCCCTCGGGTAGGGGCTCTCATCCAGCCTGACATAACACCATCGCTCTTTCCAACCTTTATTTGAGGAGGGCGCCTCGGTGAACAGCTTCCACTGGGCTATCTGCTGCAGGTTCGCGAAGCCCTCGACATTCGCATGGCCTCCCCGGCACAGGTTGAAACTTTGGAAGAAAAGGTCCAAGCTGGGGGTTACCCCCCCGGGACTTGCAAAGGTGCAGGAACCTCCGGCTATATAAGAGTGACTGTTGGGGGTGAGTTGGCAGGGGACTAAGCCGACGAACCTGAGATACTCCCGAAGGAATGGGTGCAATGGGAACCGAAGGCCCACCGACACTGAAAGAATGTGAACCGCTATGCACCCCTCGGGAGGTCGAGACAGGATATCCTCAAGGCCTGGCTCTATCACTTTTGCCGATGGACCCACGTGCAACTGCGTGATGTAGCATTCTGCCCTGTCAGCCTTCGACTTTATCTCCAGGGCGGCGGTGTTAAGGAAGGAATAACCCTCAGGCAGATCGATGGGTTTTCCTTGATCAGCAACACTACCCTTCTTCTTGGGAGCGACAACCTTCATCTTCTTCTTCTTCCCGGGGGCCACCCAGAGAGGCGTCGGGTTCAAGGGTCGGGAGGTGCTGGCTTCACCAGCGTTGCGCGCAGGGAGGACGACGACACTAACCTTCTGCCTCTCTTTCTCCTCCTCTTCCTCGGCGGTTTGAACGGCGAGGGCCAGCTCCTCGTCTTCATTTACTTGTTCGAAATCCTCGGCCTCGGCCTCAACAACGAGCTCCTTCTGTATCTCCATGGCAACGACAGAATCACCAGCCACCGAGGGCTGCTCACTCATGGACTCCACATCTGAGATACTCTCCTCCTTTGCCGAGGGCTCCCTCGATATGTTTTGAGAATCACTTTGCGAAGACATCCTCGAGAACTAGGGGATGAGGGGTTCTAGAAATCGAAGGCTCCCTAAACAACTCTAGCACTTAGCCTAAGGACGAAAACACGCTAAGGAACTCGAGAACAGGAGGAGCAACTGACCTTGGGAAGTAAGGATTTGATCGAAGGGTTGTTTCTCTCTCTAGAAAAAATCCGGCAGAGCTTCACTAACAATGAATCGCATAAGGGGAAAGGCTCAAGCCTTGGGGTATTTATAGGCACCCAAATCCGGGCTTGGGCCTAAAACCGGGCCTCCGGTTACGAAAGTCATCATTACACGCCGCCCCCTTCCGCCAAGCGGTGATACCGCCCGAAGCTAGCCAACAGCCACACGCCACGTGGAAGTCCTCTCCAACGGCTACATTTTAAATGTTCCATATTCCAACGGTCCTATTACAAACTTCTATATTTTGAAAACACATGGGTGCTCCCGGCCGGTACCCCTCATACAACATCACAAGTGCCTTCGGGCTTTCTCCTTCAGAAGCCCACGGCTTAACAACGGGCTTACCCCTCGGGAACCCTCAGCCCTCAACGCATTGAGGGCCAGGAAAACCCGGGGGGAGCACACCTTCATCAACTGTCGGCCCCCGGCCACGCAATAAGGAGACCCCTCGGGAACATCAAATTTAAAACCCCTTTTAGGTGGACAGCCTTCGGCATACAACAACGGGACCCCTCAGGTGCCCCCATCCCCAGCTTGTCAATAGCTAGAGAATCCCCCCGGCAACGCATCAACTACCACTTACATTCATCACGCCCTCAATCCCATGGATTGAGGGACTCCCCTTCGCACCCCCTGGGATATTAACAAAGCGCCTTCAGCAAATCAACACACACGCCCTCAAACAACAATACTGTCATCCATTTTGGACCAAGGTTTCACCTTTTCGATTCATCGTTAGAGGAATTCGGTGCACTCGTTTTCCCTCATTAGATTTTTTCCCACAGGGTTTTTTGTAATGAGGTTTTTAACGAGACATCCCCCCAAAATGAAACGAAAAGCGTCGGTCTTCGGCAACGTGATAACAACGGGCACTACTCTACTCCTCTTCACCATATTACATGTGCCTCAAGGAGTGGGGGACTGGAGGACCCCTTCGGGAAAAATCACAAAAATGCAAATGTAAAAAATCTCCCCAAAACAGTGACATAATCCTTCAAGTCCCAAAATGTGGGGGACTGAAGGACTGCCCCCAGCAGAATCGTGCGCAAACGCAAATCTCTCACAGATTTACAAGTTACAAGCAAGGCAACATGAGAGGACAACCGCAATTACTCCTTTTCCCTCAAGTACCTCTCGGCAAAAGGAGTGAGGGACTCCTGATGGAGTATATGGCCCAGGAACCCCCGACCCATAGACTCCCACTACTATAGTAGAGGCCCAATAGGCCCACGAAGCACAACATGCCCAAATCACAGCGCCCCAAGTGCCAAACAGCCCACGTCGAACATTGGGGTGCCTTCGGCCCCCTGGCCGAAGGCTCATAAATTTACAATACAGCTTCTTTTAAGCACTCAAAGTGTATGGGAGAAAGCGGCGAATACAGTAGCCCTCAGCACCTAGAGCCTTCGGCACCTAGAGGCCCCCAGGATGAAGAGCCTTCGGCCAATCATCTACGACCGAAGGCATCTCCTCGACAGAATCTCCCACCCACATGCGCCGGATCAACGTACCGAGTACAAACGTCACATCCAACCACCGCATTTAATGCGGCCACATGCGAGTGCCAGTGCCACCCCGTTGAGGTGACCCCTCGACCACCAGAATGATGACACGTGTCCCTATGTGGCATTTATTACTACTATAAATAGCACCCCTTTCCCCATTTGTAATCCATGCTCAATACGCTCAACACTTTCTCAGCAATACATATTCCATCTCTCTTAATTTTGCGCTGACTTCTCTCTAGTTACTCCCCGCAGTAACCCCTCGGATAGATACCCCCGAGTACACTTATTCATCATATATATATATATATATATATATATATATATATATATATATATATATATATATATATATATATATATAAGAGGAACATTTTAAGAACATACAGAGCGCCACATAATCATGCCATGTCATCCATCATATATAACAATTATTTAGTTATTTTTATACTACCTACCTTTTATTTTTATTGGATTCTATTTTTGATTGCATATTGATATGGAAACAAATGACTCTAGATTCCGTCACTTTTGAAATAGATCGATTCCCAATCTAAATTAGGAAATCTTTATATGTTTACAAATTCCTAATTTTGTTTACTCTTAAGAAGTTTTTAATTAGATTGATTTGAGTCTCACACTAAATCAGATCAGATCAAACTTTAATAATAATTGGACACATAAAATGTAAAACAGAAATCTACCAGATCATATTACTTTAGACCAAATCAAACCCGAAAATTTTAATTCAATTAAAAACGCCTTATTAATGACGTTTTCAATGTGATGAAATAATAACTAAAATGTAAAATCTTACTATAAAAAGTATGTACTCCATATTTCATACCAAGTTGAATGAGGAATATTGAAAAATATATTTTGAGGCACATAATAAAGTAAATTAGAGGACATGAAAATAATTAAGAAGCTTCTCTATGAATTCTTTAAAATCGGGTTCATAACAATTGTGCTTAGTAGGGAAGCTTATGTAGAAGACCATTTATACTATTTTTCATATAATTTTTATTTATGTAACAAATGGAATATATATTGTTTCATGATTCGGGATATTCACCTATTCAACCTATTCAGCTAGAATTTAATTAATTTCAGCAAAATAAACCGATTCCACCAATATTAGTATTATCAAACAGACTCTATATTTATACTGAGTTTATTTTGTTTTTGCGTCACATTATATATGATTCCGAAAACCAATCAAATTTTTAATTAGATAAATTACATAATGCCCGTGCATCGCACGGGCTAGAAACCTAGTATATGTAAAAAATAAAATCTTTATGCAAAAATATACGTACTCCGTAAAAAATAAAGTTTCAGACCAGACCAGACTAAAACAGATCAAACCAGACCAGCAAATTACGGTCCAAGTAAAACATCCTAACTACAAAAGTGGTATGCACTTAAAAAACATAATATAGGTTATTAATTTGTCTTTCTCATATTTATTTAAGTCATATAGCCATTCAATCCTTAAAATATGTATGAGAAAAATGTCAACTTTGTATGAGAAAATAATAAAAATGACATCTTTAATGTTTAAAAATATCAATTTTTGCTTTGCGATAACATTGTTTTGCATATTGGCATTTTCCCGGGTGTGCCGTGTGCGGAGTATATGTTCTCATTGGAATATTTTTGATGTTTTATAATATAGGGATTAGAAAAAGCGTATTAATTAATTATTAATTAATTAAATAAAGCATGATAAGGAAGAATTTATACTCCCATTGTTGGTTGTGATGAGAATTGCCGGGAGCATTTATAAATGTTGCCTGGGCAGCTGCCTGCTACTTAATTGTCTGAATTTGATAAACCCCAATTCAATTAAGAATTCCAATTTCTTCTTCTGTTAGATCTCCCTCCCGAATCTTACAAATGAGAGTGGAAGATTTTTCAGACCGTGATGCCGTCTTAGCGATGCCCGGAGATGGCGGAATGCCGGAGACGCCGCCGCCGCCGCAGACCGTGGAAGTGCACAGAGTTTGTATGCCGCCGCACAGGACGAGCGCACGGAAACTGAGGCAGAGATTGGGAGACATCTTCTTCCCCGACGATCCTCTCCACAGGTTCAAAGGCCAAACGAGGGTTAAGAAACTGCTCTTGAGTCTCCAGTTTTTCTTCCCGGTTCTCGAGTGGGCCCCGAATTATAATCTCCGCCTTCTGCGGGCTGATGTCGTAGCCGGCCTCACCATTGCCAGCCTTGCCATCCCTCAAGGCATCAGTTATGCAAAGCTTGCAAATTTACCACCTATCATCGGACTCTGTAAGTGTAGTTATTGCTCCATCTTAATTCTCGATCAATGCCTTTATTCCCTGCTTGGCGCATGCAGATTCGAGTTTCGTCCCGCCTCTGGTATACTCTCTTCTCGGGAGTTCTAGGCATCTGGCCGTGGGCCCCGTGTCCATAGCGTCTCTTGTGATGGGCACAATGCTTAGTGAGGCACTTCCATATGGTGAAGACCACCATGCTCTCTACCTTAAATTGGCTTTCACCTCCACATTTGTTGCTGGAATATTTCAAGCTTCTTTGGGCTTCTTCAGGTGCTTCCTTTTTCCCTTACTTAAATCCATCTTTCTTACTACGTACGTATATGTATAGAGAGAGTATAGACAGACAGTGGTCATTGTAGCAAATTACAGATCTTGCATCCACTACGCTTCAAGGTGGCCTTCCAATCCCCCCAGACCCTTCCTTAGTGCATGTTTTAGATCGGGCAGGGCTAAGAAAAGTTGATTGATGGAACTCCACCACCATATGTTTCTTACTTTAATCGGTGTTTTCCTTTAGCTTAGCAACAGAGTGTTTTTTGTTTTTGCAGGTTGGGATTCCTTATAGATTTTCTATCAAAGCCCACTCTTTTGGGGTTCATGTCGGGAGCTGCGGTCATTGTTTCTTTGCAACAATTGAAAAGCTTGCTTGGGATTGTCCATTTCACTGATAAGATGCAAATTGTTCCTGTTTTGTCCTCAGTTTTCCATCACACCGATGAGGTAATAATCTGTGTTTAGAAACCCGAACCGGACCGGTCGGTTCAGTTAGTTAAGGAAATGGTCAAAAACCGGAAAAACTCGGCAGACCCGGACCCGAAAAGCACGACAAACCAGCACAAACCCGGAGTAATTTTTATTAATTTTAAAGCATTTTAACCAAAAATTCCAATTTCAATACCGAAACACGAAAATATGCAATACTTTTATATACTACTTATTTGTTTAAGAATAAATATCATGTCAAATTATATAATAAATGTATAATAAATAAAACAAATACGGAGTATCATTATATTTTAATAAGATCAAAATGGTATTTTGGAATTTTATGAAACTGTTTTAAATTAAATTTTAAATGTTAAGTATTTTCATTAGTTGATTATTATGAAATAACTACCTTTTATTTTTAATTTTGTATACAATTATATGTTTATTATTATTATATGGTTGACCGGTTTTATGGCGTTGACCTGGTTGACCTGACCGGGTCTGGGTTGACCCGTGACCAGCTCACGCGGCCGGGTCGCCTCCCGATCCGGTTTCTTAAACATAGGTAATAATATGATACGAGCATGTCAGAGCGGCTGCGATGCGGAAACCAAATTGAATTGGATGGATAAGTCTAGGCTGGACCCAGCGGTTACATTCCCGCCCACTCTTTGATTCAAGTTTTTTGAAGTTTCCGATTCCGGCCTAGACTCGTCCAAACCCAGAATATTTAGGCCCAAACGGATGGGCCTCAATTAATTAGTATTATTATTTTTAAATATATTTTCCATCTAGAATGTATTACTCACTCCTTCACACTATAATTGTCTCATTTTTTCTTTTCCGTCCGTCCCACTAAATTGGTCTCATATTATATTTGGTAATATTTGTGTGATTCTAATTCATTCTTACTTTATTCTCACTTTATCAATCCATTATCAATCACATAACTTTAGTTTTCTTAAAAAATTGCACCACTCTCTTTTGTCCCAATTTTAAGGGGACGAAGGTAATAGTATGTAACAAAAATTAAAAATTTATTTTTAATTAAGTTTTCCGAATATTTATTCAAAAAATTTCTATGTTTAAAAAAACTAATAGCCATCCAAGGTTTTCATAGCCGTAAGGCGCAACACTAGCCAACCGCCACGAGTCAAATAAAAAGGTCTTAACGCGTAAAATAAGAATTAATCTCAGCCATCCAAAAAGTCAATATGTTGTCCAATAAACCTTATCTGATACACTTTTTTAATATTTATGAAAATCCCACCGCGTCTAAATGTTGGAAAAGTTATCAGATAAGGTTTGTTCGAAAAGTGCATTAGATAAGGGATATTGTGCGTACTCTGTTTGGATGACTGATATTAATTCTTATTTTACATGTTAAGGCTCTTTTTTCTTGATTCCTCCCATATATATATGTCTATATATATAGGGAGCGCGTCCTGTAAGAAAGGACTCTTAGGAGAGAAATGAGAACAAATCTTGATTGATGTATTATATTATGTGAAATTGAACTGTGGATTTGGTGTAATTGAAATTTATAATACGTGAAATTCAAATGTGCAGAATAAAAGGTAAAACTCACATGTAGACATGTGCATTAGGTGAAATTGAAATGTGCATAATAAAAGGCCACCGCATTGTACATTTTATTCTGCACATTTTAGTTTCACCGATTGTACATTCAGCTTCACAAAATGACACTATGTTGTTCCCTTTGTGCTGCACATTTCAATTTCACTTAATGCATATTCAATTTCACATAATACAATCTAACAGTCTATATTTATTCTCATTTCTCTTCTAAGATCATTTTCTCATTTGAATCGAATTATATATATACATATTTTGAACCGAATTATATATGTTATATATATATATATATATATATATAGAAGTTCACCTCCGAAATTCGGGAGAACAGCCGGCCGACCGTCGCGATTTGAGGTGGTTATCGGAGGAGTTTTGTGATGAGATATTTTGAGCATGTTTTTCATGATGTGTACATTATATCCCCAAAAATTTTAATTCAAAATTCAATCAGGAAGTTAGTTATATAAATTATTGAAAAGCACAAGGTTTTTCAATAATTTATTTAACTAACTTCCTGATTGAATTTTAAACTGAAATTTTGTTGGCATAATTTGCACTCATGAAAAACGTGCTCACAAAATTCCATCAAAAAATTACACCAGGAACCACCATAAAAAAAAATTCACTGGGAACCACCTCAAATGGCAGTGGCCGGCCGGAGGATCTGTTCGGACAGGACTATTCCTCTATCTATATATAATTATAGGTTTTGGATCAAATAAAATTGATTTTAATGTGAAAAATGAGAATGATTTTCGTGCATTGGATTAAGGATCTAAATACTCTAAAATTGACAACAATGCACCATATTGTAGTTAAAAACGCGGCGACATTTGTGTAAAAGTGCAACGTAGTGAAGTGAAAGTGAAATTTTGAATTTCTCTTGTCAAACATTCTTCTTATTTGAACCACACCCTATAGTTATATAGATACATAGATATACATATGTATATATTCATATATATAGTATTCTGTTTAAATATATTAAAATTTTAATTTCTTATACAGTTATAGTAAATATAATATGCTACAAACTAAATTGTAAATCACAAAAAATCAAAACCAACAATTAGTAATTCAAAACAAGCTTTATTAATGGGAAATAAGAGTGAAGTGTCTATTAAAAAGCATAAAAAAATCAAACTTTTAAGCTTAAAAAAATCATCAAAGACTTGGGATATCTTTACTTCGCAAGTTATTAAACTTAAGTCATGTGTTAGTAAGCGGTACATAAAATAAGTTGTACCACAAGCACATGTCTACTTCACATGATTTAACAGCGAGTAGACACGTCCTAAATCTTCTCTAGGGCCTTCATTTATCCCAGAAAAACCCTAACTGTAGCAGTGTAGTATAGACAATTTGAACAGAAAATATTGCCGCTATAGCGTCCGCTATTCCTGCTAGAGCGGAACACGATGCTACACGTTGTCTTGTAGCGCCCAACTGCTGTTACGCCGCTATAGCACCCTATTCACCTCACTGAATAGGTCTATGTGTTAATCTATTATTAATAGACCACTAATACCCTTGGGGAGAGCAAAGTGGAGGGCGCACGTCCGTGTGGACGATTGATGTCTTGTCTACCTTTCCTCTCTTTTTTCTTTTATCGTTTATCTTCCTTATCTTTTTATATTCTTACGTTATTTTTATCTTTCCCATATAAAATACGTTCTTTTACCCGCCTTTCCCATATATTTTCTCTCAACTTTTTTCTTTTTCCTGTTGTACGAAACAAGAAAAAAAGTTTATTTCTACATTAAACCAGATAAGAGTCATGGAAGGATAATGAACCTTTGATTGAAGCCTTGGAGGAAAGTAACTTGTACTGGAAAATATATGAAAATGTTTTTTGAAGGAAAAAGTTGTTATCTGTATGCTAATGTTTTACTAACAAACATAAAAAACATACCACTGTTAAAGGAGAATAGCTCTTCTGTTTTCGAAACGGAAATTCATTTTCCACAAAGGTTCAATGAATAAAAGTAAATATCTTCCTTCAGTGAAAATTTTCCAGAAAATGTTTTCCTATGCCAAGACTGAAAAGTCGTATTTAGTTCAAGTCACACCCTCAACAAGTTCAATCAGTTTGTCAGTTTGGCCAAATTTGACCCTCACATAATGCAAACTAATTCTGATGTTGATGTTTTGCGTTCAGTGGTCTTGGCAAAC